AAGACGCAATGCAAATGTACCGTATGTGATGAAAACATGATTTCGACACGAAGCACTGCGAGGGTAGATTAATTTTCTCCTTAACATACGTTGTTGTTGGTTTCTTAAAAGACGAGGGGGCCAAAATTCAGCCAGTTGCATGTCGTAATTCCAATGTGTATGATTTTTTCTGAAGGGCCTCGTACTGGGCTTTCACCGCTTTCACCATATGAAAATAACGTCATGAAAACATGAATGAAACACAAAGCCCCGCGCTTTGTTTTAGCCGTCAAGCCACCATCTTTATATGTGGTTTTGGGGTTGGGCACCGTTGGTGCTCGTTTTGCCGGCCGTGGTCAGCCCGCGAGTGGCTCTTCTGTGGACCACAGCGTTTTGATTCACACCGGACCGCCGTCCCCGCTTTCACTCAGAGTTTGCTCGCTGGTTGGCTCGCGCCTTGGCGTGCTCGGTGGTGGACTCAGTTCCTCAGTCGAGTGGCCGATGGTCGGTGGTAGTCTTTTCCTCTACAGTTGGGTATGTGACAGACGGCATGTTTTGGCATGTTTTTTGTATGTGAAAGGTGGCAAAGGAGGTGGCGCACTCCGGAGAAGCCTGAGGATCCTTAGATAGCTGGTGACCCAAGACCTAAATGACTCAAGCCCAAGGCACCAGGATCATCGCATGGGTGTTCAATGGAAATCTCTTAAGTAGGGTAGGGTAGTCCATTGGACACCCATTGGATGGTCCTGGTAGTTGACCATGCGGTAGCAGGCGCAGACCATTCTGGGCATTTGATCCACGACCATCTTGGCAAGAAAACGATTGTCAAAACAACACTCACTCGTAGGCCAGAAAAACGATGCCATTTCCCAGACACTCCATGTATGGAACATAAGAAACATATGACCCCTGAAATGACTTCAATGTAGGTAAATATGCCATACATGGAGTGTTTGGATTTCAAGCAGCGATAAGACTACCTCGATGACATGACTTACTACATATTTCTATATTGACAAAGGAACGGGGCCCAAAAAGTCAGTCAAAGTATTCAAACAATTCACCGTTAGAGTCAGGTCTTTTCCCGCAAGAGTTCCATGGCACCCGGTGCCATGTGTGTTCGCTCCGTTAGGCCCTAGACTGTCTTTTGAGGTTCGCCCAGAACGGACTGTGAAGAACTTGAAGACGGTGACACAACCGCACCCTTTTGAGAAAGTCCTGGAATTCAGTGAGTGAAGTTAGGTTTCTAGAGTAGATAACGCAAAACCCACTGTAGAAAAACACATATCTAGAGTCCAAATCCCAGTCGATCAATCTGTTTCCTCATTAATTTATCATTCCACGGCCTTTGCCGTCCCTGCAAAATGCTGCTTTCCTTCGCTCCGCTCTCTCAGGACCGCCGGCCTCCCACCGATGCTCCGATGCGCGCTCCGAGCGACGCTCTTTGTGGCCGTGGCGGCCGCAGCGACCGCAGCGACCGCGGCGGCCGACGCCGACTGTGAGGAGGTCTCCATGTTGGTCGCGAAGCAGGTGCCGGGACAGGCCGCGGGGGGGCATCCATGGGACTGGGAAGAAGGAAAAAGAAACATATGGCATATGGATTCTGAAAATGACCGGGCCATAGCCATATACCTCTTCCGTGATCCCACGGTTTGGGTGCAGCCACGGGCCGGTCTTCACTAGCTCCGGCGGGGTGGCTTTTCATCCCCAGCTCGCACAAGCAGTTTGGGTTGCCTGTTTGAAACCGCACCCAGACCATCCATGGGATTGGCCTATTTACCGATCAGTTGGGGCGATTGAAAACGGGTGGTTTGGGGCATGTGTCTTTCTGCGGAGACTCACGGATCAACTGGTCCCAATTGCCTGGGCCATTGCGTGACACTTCCCTTTGTGTAGAGTAGCTCTTTGACCTACATAAAAGGCTCTTCCATGGAAGATAGCTTACTCAAAATTCCGGACGTTCTTTCTCCTGCTTCCAGGAGAAGAATGATCCTCTCCGCACAGAGACGCAGAATGAGGTGATGCTCTTATCAAGCAATTTGCAGTACCAAGCATCTAGGCCGCCTAAGCCTTGCCAGTGCTTGGTGCGACTTACCCAGAGGAGCCAGCGACTGGAAAGGCTGCCGTGTTGAAGCAAGATAAAGCAAGAGACCCAAGGTGAAGAGCTTGTTCGAAAAGATATGCCCAAACGATCTATCGCTCCCAATGACTGGACACGGATGCTTTAAGGGAAAGGAAATGGTCAGCACAGGTTGACAACTCGTTGGGTTTGAAGGTTTGGAGACAACTGGGTTGAAAACACCAACCAGAGACAGGTGGCTTGCCACAACTGGGTCCGGGTTGCCTGGCTTGAACAACGCTCGTTCACCAGACCCTGTTTTGGGCCTTCGTGAAAACAAGGCGCAGTTCCTCCACCGAAGACGTCCGCGAGTTGAGGTTGTCTTCACCGACACCGACGCAAATGAACTGTTGCTCATCCGGCAAATGGGAGATGCGCAAGGTTTTGGATGCAAGTTGTGTGGGCGGAGAAGAGCACCAAAAATGTGTTCGTTGTTTTCTGAGGTGTGTTCACTCCGTCAAACATCTTAAAGACACCTAGTCTTCCTTTCCTTCCTTTCCCTTTGGAGGAATGCATCGGCGGAATGCGCTTCAAATCACCACGGATCCCGAGAAGAACTGTAGATCAGACACGACCTGTTTGGGACCGACCTATTTCACCGAGAATTTTGGGCCAGGGGTTGGGGTCGTTGATTGAAAAAGGCTGTTGATGTGTGTAAAGATGTCCATGACATGGAGTCATGCAGTGTTTGGGAAAGATCGAGGTGCTCGCAAGTGCTCACAAGTGTTCAGGAATGCCACAGTAACCCGAAAGCTGGTGTTGAGGGAGTGAAGCACCAAGGTTCCTGGGTGGTGAAACAGGGTGCAGTCCTGGTGGGAGACGGTGTGAGAATCACTGGATGTTTGCTTGCAAGAGTAGAAGACTAAGAGAGCCCCCTGAGGTGGATTCTTGTTTTGATTTTTTGGTTGCTGAACATTTGAGCCTTTGCCAATCAAGGTCCTTTTCTCAAGAGAGACCTCAATGCCAATAAGAATGCTGTCACTTTCCACTCATCCCTTGGCATCGTTTCTCGTGCCACAGGAAGAAAAACCACATGGTGTGTATTGAAATATGGAGACATCCCCTGGTTGGTAGTGAATATCGATCAGTCTACCCAGGCGATCGGGGCAAGGCGAGAGTTAGGGTGTCTCCCCACATGACATGGAGTCCTCCCTCTTCCCGGGCAAAAACGATCACCCCAGCCGGCCGTCCAAGCGACGCCCACCCAGTCAAGCCGCGCGCGAAACAAACAACGACACCGGTCTGGTCGGGGAAGGTTCCTCACATTCACCGGTGGTTGGCCTTTTTGAGGGCGAGTGGTTTGTTCTGATCCCAAAACCTTTCTGTCAGGGCAACCCTTTTGACTCGCGGCAGCCGCGGCAAGAACTGTCTGGTCAGATGTTTCTCGTGTCAATCGGGACTCGCCACAACACTCGTCCCCTCGTCGTGCTTTCGCGCTCAGACTTCCCCCCCCAAGGTCCAGCTTCCTCGAGGGCTGTCGCCAGATCTTCCTGGACGTTGGATCCAACCGCGGCACGCACGTCCGACGCCCGGCGCACCGGGGGCGCACGCCGGCGCAGCGTGAAACCCCGGAGGCCATCTGGAAAAGAGTTCCGGTTTGAACCTGGTTTTTGGCAATTTAGATCAATTTTGGTCTCAACTCCTTGGCAAAAACGATGGTTCTTCCGTAAAGGCCAGTGAATCAATGGTGGGCCAGAAAGCCTCGGTGGAACATTTTGGGGTCGGACTGTTGGCATCTTCCGCCAGCAGTGGACCAAAGGCACGGACCAATGACCAACACACCATCCCACCTGAACAGCTTAGCTCTGTTTTTCTGAACGAGCTTCCTGCCGAGCCTGGTCAAATCTTAAACCCATGAGCTGCTCAGTTTGCCCCCCATCTTGAGTGTATATATTTAAGGCCTCCTCTCCTTGCCAACTCATTCTCTTGCAGTTCAACATCGTCAGCCATCCGTTGCCATTCTGAGGAAAGCTTTTTGAGCCCCAGAAGTATGCTGGTGCCCCATACCTGAAAGTCTTCGAGCGAGTCTTTGGGCCGGCCTGGAAACGGCGAACGCCCTCCAGTGGCATTTGTGCCGTTGGCAGCTTGGCAGATCTGTGGTGATGAGTGGATGAGTGGATTAGAGAGCTGGGCTAGCACCGGTAGCACTCAAAAAAGGGTTTCAGCGTCACAGCCTCAGAACTCAGAACTAACCACCTGAAAACTTAGTGGACATGTTGATCAGTGCCGCATTATCAGATGATGATGGGATTCTGAAATTCGCGAGATGGATCGATGGAGCTCAAATACGACCAACATCCGGAAAAATACAGGTCGAAGAGAAAAACTGGCGGAACCATAAACCTGGGGGAGAGTACTCTTCACCCAGAAAAAAGATGTTTCCAGCTGATACTCGGTGTACAAACACCCAAACTCCTCATGTATGGTGATACAGGTAGGTCAGTCCCATTGGTTGTCTCTGGGACACGGAAACAATCAAACACTAATCCTACTGGGCTTCGCACATGGCAGTCCCGTCAGTGGCAGTCTTCACTAGACTATACCGACGCGTTTTGATCGTCTAGTTATATACCACAGTCCTAGAGCTTCTCCTTGAGCCCGCGTAAGCGCCTTTGGGGATATGTCAAGTGTCGAAACAAAGGTTCCAAGGACAATCGAAACGCTGGTAGGGACTGATCAGTTTTCTCTATCGAAGTACCTTCGATATGGAGCTTGTTGGAGTTGCTAGCAGAAAATGGGCCCAAAACCTATGGGTTGGTTGACTGGCTTCGGCTTCAGGGTGTTGTGTGCGTTTTGGCTCAACAGGAGTAGTTTTGTGGCAGCTGAATCTCTTCTGCCGCATCAGGCTATTTCAACTTCCACAGACTCGGGGCGATAGCGAAAGGAAATGTATACAAAGAGAAATAGGTCTAAATAAATGAAAGAACACACATCCTTGTGATGAATTGTTTTTTCATTTTCTTTTTAATGGTGTTTTTCCTTTCGTTACTCAAACAATTTGGCAGGCTGATTCTCCCTCCCAAAGCACCTTGATGTTAAAATAGAGTAAAAACACGACGACCTTGAGCAGTTGCCTTTTGGCCAATGGTTCGCACCAAGGCTTTGAGCCCAACAGCGAGTGGATCCCTCACCACCAGGACATCGAACGCACCTATGCAAAGCAGGGATGGAAAGCGCCTCATCCCAAAAAAGGGACGAGGGTGGAGGCCATCGCTCTTAGGTTGGAGGCCCTGTAGGGCTGGTGAGGGCCCGTGACGAGTCCAGAAAATCCAATGAATTTAGATGACGAGTGCCCGTCCATTCTTCGACCTTCCATGGCAACGGTTTGTGTCTTCCAAAGAGATGCATTCTGTCATAAGACATAAGATTCGTTGACAACCTCCAACTTGCATGGGCAAACGGAGGGTTCTCTTGTCTCATAATGTGCTTTCAGCTTTGTCTCATGGGAGACTTGTCCATTGAGTTTTCGATTTGGGCTACTTCCGCTTTACAGCTACCAGGAGTGGGATTACAGGAACCAATTATATAACATCTCACGTTGTCACGAGGCACGAGCATATTGCCGAAGTAAGGGCCCATTGTGGACAATTTTTGGGGTACCTGTCAGTTAGTTGTCAGCGTCCTGCTCATCGCCTCTCGTCGCCCCGTCGAATGACGCTGCTTACTTTTGACGCGCACGGCGCGCCGCGTTTGCTTCAGCGAGGTCAAGTTTTTCCCGGTGGCCGTCAGCGACCACGAGGGAAAGTTGGAATTTTTCCACGGAACCAAGGGCAACTCCGAAGCTTGGACTGGAACTCACTGAAAAGAAACCCTCACCGGCGAGCCGGCATCCAAAGCTTGGGGAGTAGCTTGCCATGTATGCTTGGACCGCTTGACTCCCCTGAAACAATTAGCCTTGTTACGCTCGGCATCCTCGGGGTTGGAGTCGCTCGCCACCGTGGATGGGTCAGAAATGGATGAAAGTGTCCATGATGTCCGAATTGGAGTGGGCGAAAGAAAGGCTTTGTCGAAGAAAACAACGGAGTTGGATGGATTTAAGGTCAGGTTTAAATGTGTAAATGATCCAGTGGTTGGATCCAGAAGTTGTTTCACCGACACAGAAGCTGGTCGTATTCTGTGTCAACCCGAGTTGACGGGTCCAGAGACCCGACCATCTCCGCGCGGCCCAGTGCCGCGACGACCGCGTGCCGCCCGGCTGCCTCGGCAACCGACGTCGAGGAAGTCGGCTTCTCAGCTTTCCGGCACAATCACAGTGGCCAGACCGTGGAGGTTCAGAGACTTGGTCTATGAGATCGTCGGTGCTGGAACGCGTTGGTGGAGGGAAAGGTAGATTCTATGCCGGCGTAGTAGAGCTGCCATGAAAGGTGCTCTGAAAAGTTGGCTGGGGTTCTTTTGGCTCGGATTGCGAGAAGAGTTCATACCATTGGCTTTTTCAGTTTGGGGACACAGGGTAAGCGTGAAGCATGGGTTTAGTTTTGGCACAAGCGCTTTTAGAAGCTACGCTTGACCCGCCAATTGAGCATGGTGTAAACAATGTGTAAAGTGTAAACCAAGCAAGTTTAAAGAAAAAACAGTCCACTAGGGGTGCCACTATGTTGCCATTTACTAGGACTGGTTGAGTGGTGCCCTATGTTTCGAACCATAGAGCTAGAGATCCTTGTGGCTAAGTGGCAAATCATTGGCAGATCAACCATTTGTCTAAGCCGTTCGAAGGGTAACTTTCACAAACTCTCCATGGATTCAGTTACCACTATATAAATAGCAGCCTAGAAAAAAAAGCGCGGCCTTTTGGCGCCGCTTTTTTCCCGAAACGCACGGATCAGCTCTCCCCAGGATGGAACCCTTCAGCCAGTTCATCTCCAGGACCTGCCCGCAGACATTTGTTTGTTCGTGCGGCACGTAGTAATAGCGGAATAGCGGGGTGATTTTCAGCAAGTCCCATGTCAATCCACCTGATTGGATTCTATCAAGTAAGGGACTAATCTTGTGTGGAATCGCTAGTAGGTTGGAGGCCATCGCTGGTAGTAGGTGGGAGGCCATTGCTGCACCAAAGATCTTAGGGTCTTCATTAAGAGATTCTGTTCAGTTCACTCAGCTCGGTCGAGGGACGTTTTCAAACGGAGTGTCGGAGATGTTCTTCAGATTTGGCGTGTCACAGATGGGCCGAACGGCACCCTTTGGTGATGAAGTGGAACTGCGGGTTTGGGGAATTGAGTGACCAGCATGAGCAGCAGAGGATATTGTTCCGAGAGCAAGATCTTCACCCAGATCCAACCTACTAACGATGGCCTCCCATGGCCTCCAACCTGCTAGCGATGGCCTCCAACCTACTAGCGATGACCTCCAACCCACTGGCAATGGCCTCCAACTTGATGGCCTCCAACCTACTAGCGATGGCCTCCTGAATACATCTGGAGCAGTGTGCTGGCCACAGTTGAAGATGTCGTGAATGGAGGTCTGACTGTGAATCATGCTCACGTCAAAACGCTCTCAGATTTGGAATTTTGCATCTTAACCTCAAGATGAACAGGTGGAGAATGGTGCAGATGTATCAAATACTGTAAGTAATTCAACCCTTTCTTCTTGGACCTTGGCATTAGCAAAGTGACCAGAATCACCTCCTCCAACACTCGGAGCCCTCCACGATTCTTTAAAAAGCACTCTGGGAAAAACAAACAAGAACAATTTACTTCACTTCGAGTGATCCTGACCATAACATTTCAATCTGACAAAATTTTCTGCATGTGTTGAAACATTATTTCGGCATTCTTTCTGGCATATCTTCTGCAATTCTTTCTGGCACATCTTCTGACGTTCTTTCTGACATTCTTTCTGGCACATCTTCTGACATTCTTTCTGACATTCTTTCTGGCATAGCTTTTGACATTCTGTCTGGCATATCTTCTGACATTCTTTCTGTCATTCTTTCTGGCATCTCTTCTGACACTCTTTCTGACATTCTATCTGGCACATCTTCTGACCACCTTTCTGGGGTATCTTCTGACTCGCGATTGAGGTGTGGCGGGGAACACTGCCGTCCGGAGCTGGTGGTTGAGGTCCGGTGGGGAACACTGCCCGCGAAGGTTGTGGTTGAGGTCCGGCGGGGAACGCTGCTCTCCTCGAGAGCTGGCCGTTGAGGTCCGGTGGGGAGCACTGCTGTCCGGAGCTGGCCGTTGAGGTCTGGCGGGGAACACTGCCCGCCGCAGCTTTACACAATCTAATTCCACACCAAAAGTGACCAAAAGCTAGTCCCCAAAGCGGACTGTTCAGTTCCAATCATCCCTTTCTGACACCAACAAAATCTTTCTTTTTGAGCGCTCTTCTCTAGACTCTAGAGCCATAGAGACATTCCGGCAATCTGCTTCGCCACAGCTTTACATAATCTAATTCCACATCAAGAATGAAAAAACTAGTCCCCGAAGGTGATCGGTCAGTTCCAAAGTCATTCTGGGCAATCTGCTTCGCCACACCATTACACAATTTTATTCCACACACAAATGACCGAAAGCTTGAAGGATTGATGTCATATTCTGTTGCGCACTGAGCCAAGGCACACAACCCAGGCTTGTGAATGGCCATTGCATGCTTGGCACTTCCCCTGTGCTTTCCATCCAACATGGCCTTTTCAGTTCAAGACAATGCCGTCCTACACTGCGGTTGAGGTCTGGCACAGGGAACACTGCCCTCCGCCACTTGCGGTTGAGGAGGACAAGGAGAAGAGCAGCGAGGCAGCTAACATAAAATCCAACAACTCTCACCTGACCGGTGAGGAAAACCCCCACGACCCACACGTTGCAACCGGGATGTGCGGTCGCGTCTGCAGGATCAACACGACGGTGCCCTCGGGAATTCGCTTGGTGAAGATGGATATCGAAGGCTCCGAGTTTGAGGCTCCGAGATGGAAAAAGGCTAGCGTTTAGCCGAAGTAACAGTAACAGTCGATAAAAAACTATCACCATTTTTGAGAAAGGCCTTTCTTATAATTAATCTTTATCATCCACTGTTACTGGTAGCCCGGGATCAAGAGACTTACCAGCTAGTCGGGCGGTTGCGTACGGATCCTCTTGATGTGCCATGGTTGAACCACCTGAGAAGGTCGATGAGGCATTCTTCCTGGGGAAGCGTGTGAGATTGTTCTGCTCATGTTATGATGATGGGATTTGCAATGCCTGTACATTAGACAAAGGGCTTCCTAAGATGACATTGAAGGTGGCATTCGAGAAGGGTGTTGAGCATGTCCTGCCCATTGGATCCATCTTCTTGCTGGAGAATTTTGCATTGTCATTGGAAGAGACTCCGTTCATTTCGGGATCACTTTCTGAGGGACCATCGCTACCACTTGGCTTGCCGAAGCCAGCTAACAAAGGCATCGCAGAGATTCTCAGGCATTGGAGGTTGGGGCATGGCCGCCGAGGCCTTTGGTTGCCAACCGCTGGTTGGCTTGGAGAAGGGCCATGCTACAGCGCAATGCCATGCGAAGAACGCCATGATTCCGGTCATCGATCCTTAGCCCTTGGTGGAGAATTTCCTGCGCGGTTCATTCTGTTGGGTGATGTTTTCGACAGCCGATGTTGGGCTGTGATGTCATGGACAAGGATTGCGCGCTATTTTGCTTCACCCCCATGCCAAAGTTGGAGTGGAGCTGGATGGCAAACAAGGTTTGGAGTCAGTGAACGGCCAAGCTATGGAGGTTTGCGTTGAGCGCTCCACGATGCTCAATGCCAGATCTGTGACCATGGAGAACGTGCCATCTATCCAGACGCACCCTGACTTTCAACAGGTCAAGAAGTTGATCAATGAGTGCAATTACATCATTGGCCATGAAGGCATTGACGAGGTGTATCCAGTGTTGCCCATCAAGCGCAAGAGATGGATGACGACCCTCTTGCCAAAAGGGATTCTCGTTGATCGAATACCTCAAGCAGGCCAGATTTCCGTCATGTTTGCCAGTGTTTGGCGCGAAGAACTCACTGGCCTTGGCAAGAGCCTTCAACGACCACATCTGGCAGATGCGTTAGACGCAAAAGATCATGCCCTGCTGCCGAGGAATATGTTGCAAGGTAAAACCATCCTACTTGGAGGACGTACTCAATAGGAGGAGCATTCGTGAATGGGAACCAGCGCCTTCTCTCATGTCCTGCTATGGAGGGCAACATGAACTTCCAAGGGATCTGTTGAAGCACCACGGACTGCGCTCGTGGTTCGTACGTGATGGTGTCCCTTTCGCCGTTCGAGGGTCAGGCCACAAGTTGATTGGGAATGCAATTTCATTTGCTCATTCAACACTGCAAACATGGAGGACTCATTTCTTGTTGGGTCAATAGTCCCCATTTGTCCCCATTTCGCACCGATGTCATTAGTGTTGCCGACCTGAGGAATTGATTTTCGATCGTGCAGGAAGGTTCGGGGACAATGTTGTGATCAAAGATGGTTCGTTGCTTACCTCGCCGTCCCCGGTGCCGCCGATCTCAGCCACATGATGCCTGACTCACCTGAGGACAGTCAGGGCAAGAAGCCGAGAGCCTTGGACATTTCACAAACATCTCCTTTTGAAGTTGTCCGGATGGATCCATGTGAGGTTGACCTTGCTTTGCCATTCCTCAAGATGTGCAACGTGTTGCGATTGCCAGCCAGCCGCTTAACCAGGGTGCCTTCGAAGAGAAGCCACAGGGCTTTCTGCTTGTTGATCACCTCATCTCCTGGGAACAAGGCAGACTGGTCCAAGTTGCGAACATGTTTCCATGCCAACTTTTGCATGAACAGAAGATGCGGGCTGAGTTCGTTTGGTTGCCGAACGATACCAACATGGGTTTTGCCATCCACCAAGCCCTGCCTCACGCATTGGAGTGTCATTTCCAAATCATCCAGCGTGGTGTTGAAGAAGTGAGTTTCCAGGACCAGGTCAACCCGGAACCGCCGTGCGCCATTTTCTTGGACACAGTCAAGATCGACCGTTTGGTATCGCCGCTGTTCACACAGGATAGCCTCTTGGTCTCTGTCGATGTTAGTTGGAAGTTTGCAGATCTCATAGCATTCGTTGCGTCGCAATGCAAGGTCTTGCCGAGCAAGGTTATCTGTTATCTTTTTGGATGATCAAGCACCCATGCCAGAATCTGCGTATGTATTGCAACAGTTGAGCACATCGTTCAAAGCTGCCTTGTTCACAAGCCCCCTTGACACCAAACAGCTCATGCCCAAGAAGCTGTGTGAATTCTCGAGTACTGAAGAGATCACTGTTGCAGGTGTAAGGGTTGCCAATCCAGTGCGCGCAGATAATGCATTACCAGCCGATTCGGCCTTTGTCAGGTTTGCAGCGAGGAACCCGAATTGGGGCTCAATTCGATCTGTCGCCATCAACAAGCAGGACTCAGTAGGCAAACTGGCGCAGTTGCTTCCCCCCGACTTTCGAGATCCGCTGCCTAATGTCGCTGCTGAGAGTGCAATTATTGACTCGAGTGAGACAGTTGCATCATTGATTTCCAAGCCCAAGTTGGAAATCCATGTCGAAGGGTTCAAACCATGGCCGGTCACAGATTTGGAGTTATTATTGCCGTTTGGTCCGAAGCAGCCACATGATCCTGCGTTTCTCGCGAAACTGTGGGTGAAAGGTCCTTTCGATTACCGTGCCAAGATCTGTCAGGTTGACAAAGAGTGGACACTTACCAAGCTTGCTGCGTCATATCAAGTGTTGCACCGTAGCAATTTGACCATGATTGTTTTGCAGCATGGGAAACCATTGGACCCGACAGCAGATTCAGCAAATTTGTAGTGAGCATGAGATCCAAGTCAGGGTGTGTGCATTGCCGGGAGGAGCCAAGTCTGAATGAAGATCTCGTGAAGTTCCTGGAACCGCTCCTGGTCACGCGAGGTGCGCCTGAGAGTGCGGTCAAAGCCAGAGTCCAGTCTGTCCTTAGCAATTTGGACCATGCCGCAATCAGGGCGCACATGCATGATGAAGCTCAGACATTTTGGGGCTAACTCAAGCAGTGGGCCAATGATGCGAAGCTTCGATTGATCACCGCTGACGTGTTGAAAGCGCAAAAGAAGGCAGGAAGAGCTGAGGCTAAAGCAAATGCTTCATCCTCCAATGCGTCGTCGTCAGCCCAGAAAATAGCAGGAGGTCTCTACTCAGCAAGTTGTTATCGACGCGACGCATTTTCTTGCGAATGGATCACCAGCCCCCAAGATTGACATCAATGCGTTTGCGCCGGATTCAACAGGTATTGCAGCGGTTTCTCCGGCTGAAGCCTTGAAATGCATGCCTGTACGTAGCCTCTCTGTGCAGCCACTTGCGTTGGTGGTCATTACCAACAATCCATTTGGTGGGAAGCCGATTGTCCATGTGCCTGCATGTGATCATCAGAACAACCCCATCATTGTGCCAGTGGTTGAGCTCAATTTCGGTGAGGCGCAGGTAGAGTTCCAGCCCAAACTGCCACAAACGAAGTTGGTGGAAACTCCGGTGGTGGTCCTCGAGTTGAAAATTTGCAAGGATCTGGTGAACGACTGGAATGAGGTTCAATCCTCTCTGGCCTACTTGGGTTTGCCTATCCCGGAAATGAGGAAGGATGCAGTCATTGAGGCCTGGAGCATTTCGCCGTATGATAAGCACAGGTGGAAGTCCAAGCATGATTATGCCGATTACAGCCATGGATTCTGCAAAGTGAGGTTGGCAGTCGCCGATGATATTCTCAAGCGATCAGGAGTTGCTGGCATCTTCCTGGCGCCCAAGACGCCAGACAAGAAGAGGGACTTGTGGCATATATATAGTCTCATCCAAATTCCTGGTAAGCCGCTCGATGAGGTCATTTGCATGGTCAAAGATGTCCCCAAGACCGTGGGAGTGGTGGAATGCGCTGCCAACTATGCCATTCATGTAGTGAGATCCAAGATATTGCCGCAGAGAACGCCATTCAGGAGGGTTTGGTTCAATCTGATTCTGATTGGTTCCTCCTCAGGGGACTCAGAAATCAAACCACTCATGAAAACCTGACGGCCGTGCTGCAAGGTTTGGGGTGGAAAGATGCGCATGCAATTCGACCGACGCGTGGGGGGGCCTGTCTTCCCAATGCCTCAATGCCAAGTCCGAGCCGCCATGCGCATACTTTCAGATTAATGACACCTATGTCTCAGTCATCAAGCTGGACAAGAAGGCGGAAGCGCCAAAGCGTCATGATGTCAAGGACGTCCAACACAAGGTTGTGCATGCAACTCCTTCGCGCACACCGACTAGGTTAACATCGACCAGGATTGATGAGCTGCAGGAACGATTGACCAACATCATCAACGACGAGATTGCAGACAAAATGTTGGAGACGCAATCACAGATGGCTGATCTCAAAGGCGCCGTGAATGCATTAGATCATGGGAGCAAAAAGCAACAGGCAGCGGTCCTGGAGATCAAAAGAATCAAGACGAATGTGCGTCCCGTGTCAGTGTCATGCAACAGTCAATGCAACAAGCCATCAATGATGGGAACACGGCCATCTTGCAGAAGATGCATTCGCTTTTCAAACAGTTTTGCAAATCGTTTGAAACCAGACTCACTGCCATTGAATCCAAGGTGGATGAGACTGATATGCAAGCGGGCCAAGACGTCAACGTCATGAGGCGATAACATGTTTTGTTGCAATCCTCACTGCGCAGTCCAGCCAGTGTGTCCATGCATGCCATCTCAGGCAACTCCGGGAAGTAATTGCCAAAATGGTGCTCAATTCAACTTGTAAGAGATTCTCGCTAGGTCACATGGTGCAATGCCAGATTTGGTCCTTTGTCTACCACAGTCTGACGAACGACCCGCCATGTCTAATTCAACCTGCTTGTCTGCACCACAGTCCACAGCTGATGCTATCATTAGCTTCCTTGTTGTGATTGTGAGAATGGGTTCCAGATGTCGGTTCCAGATTCCTGTTGCTTGGGGATCCGCCCCAACAGCGGTGTGTTTCTCGATGGGAGCCCTTCCTTTGCAGATCGGTATCCACGGTAACAAAGCAAGTTGCCAGGGTCCAAATAACCACGACACAGCCTTGCAAATTTGACTGTGTCAAGCACATAAGGAGCAGAATCAGATGTTTGGCTTGCATTGCATTTGTCCATATTGCAGTGCTTTTGAGCCTGTCCATGCCACATGATGCTGTTGGATTCCATCCCAACAGAACAGGAGATGCGTCCTTGCTGCTCGGAAAATCGGCAAGCGGCGTTTTCGTTTCCATCGTGGTTTTTGGAACGATGTCGGCCACGTGTTGTTCCAATCCTCCACCGATACGGGGAGAAGAGGCAAACCTCTGGGCCTTTCTTCCGGGGTTTGAGGCTGAGTAGTTTGCTTGGTCTGACCCAGGGAAGCAACATTTGCGATCAGGGCCTTTTGGTGCTGTGCAGAATTCCTCCACAAACAAGCCTGTACTTGCTACCCCGAATTTGGGGATCCGGACCATGTCTTCCGTAGCATGGAAGGGGACGACTTTCCTACATCCCCGATTGCTGTTCCCTTGGCGAGCTCAGCGCTCCATGCTGAACTCCAACAAATGCATCATTGTTTCTATACAAGTGCTCATTGGTGGTGGGAGTCATTTGGCTTGTACCTGGTGACTACCACCTCTTGCTATCATGAACATGTGCCAGCGCATGTTGTGCAATCAGTTCAATCATTATTTAGCGTCGTCTTCTCTGGTAAGATTCATTCCGTCAGTGGCACACAACAGAGTCGAAGTTCACCAGGTTCAAGAAGATTTGATGCTTACAAAACATCCACCCTTTTTTGGGGATATGTGTTTTCATCATTCGGTAAACTTTATTAGCGAGTTGGTGAAGCCACCAGCCCGGGTCCAATCCCGATGAACGCAAACAAGTTTCATGTTGCCCACTACAACCCAACTGCAATTTTTGGTAACGTTGATGATATACTTTCTCTACCGCTTGGTGTTCACTTGATTGCTGAAACCAGCCATACGAGGAATGCGCTTTGAATTACCAACAATCGATTGTTTTCTAAAAAGATCCACTCACTTCGGTCAGAACCTGTTGTGCCTTACCAACACCTTCGATTGCCTCAGAGGCATGGCTGGTGGTACGGCCATCTTGTCACACAGACCATTG